AACTAATCACTACATTATTAAAATTTAATTTAGCATTACAAATGAATGATACATGAATTTGATCTCTGAGGTATAAATTGTTATATCTGATAATTCTGGAAAAATTAAGGAGAAAAACGAGAGAAAATATTGGGGAAAATTATCTGATTATGATTGAATAATGATATTACAGCAGAAAATGTGAATATATATCAATACATAATCTAGAAACTTCTGTAAGAATCCCACAAATATCAGTAACTAACTTAACAAAATATCTGTAACTAATTCCCTGAAATCTAGGGAATTCTGTTATGAGGCAGAGCTGATGTGGCAGGGCTGACTTCAGTTGATTGATTACGTGTAGCTTCATTACCCCCCCTCAAGGTGGGAGCTGATGAAATCACTCCCAGCTTGGATAACAAGAACTGCAGCTTAGCAGAAGGAACAGTCTTTGTAAACAAATCAGCAAGATGTTCATCAGTGGGAAGATAAGAAAGCTTGATCAAGCCTTCTAAGACCTTATCACGAGTGAAATGGCAATCTATTTCAATGTGTTTCGTGCGTTCATGAAACACAGGATTGCGAGCTATATGGATAGCAAATTGGTTGTAACAATATAATGTCACATGCCTCAAATTAGTGACTCCAATATCTTCAAGCAAACACACTAACCAAGTTACTTCAGAAGCAGCATTAGACATTGCACGATACTCAGCCTTAGAAGATGATTTGGACACCAAACTTTGTTTCTTGGACTTCCAGGCCACTGGAGAGTGTCCAAGTAACAAGACATAGCCAGTGATTGACCTTCTGGTATCTGCACAGTTACCCCAGTCAGAATTAGTGAAGGCCTAAAGTTGTAGATCATTAGAACCCCTTAATAAGATCCCTTGACCTTCAGTATTAGCAACATAACTAAGAGTATGAATAAGAGCCTGTAGATGACTGATCCTGGGCTTCTGCATAAACTGACTGAGACCTTGGATAGCAAAACATAGATCAGGTCGAGTATGAGTGAGGAAATTTAGCTTTCCCACTAAAGACCTATACTGTTGAGGATCAGCTAACAAATCACCAGCTGATTCTTGCAATTGCAAATGAATAGGCAGGGGTGTGACAGCTCTAGAACTCAGAACAAAATCACACTCATGAAGTAATTCTCTGGTAAATTTCTTCTGACTAAGAATAACACCATCCTTAGAATAACCAACTTCAATTCCCAAGAAGTAATTCAGTATGCCAAGATCTTTGATACTAAATTACTGATGCAGGGCTGACTTAAGACTGAGCATAGCAGATTCATCTGAGCCAGTGAGTATAACATCATCAACATAAACAACAGCCAAACAAAGCAAATCACCTGATCTTCTAAGAAATAGACTGTAATCATTCTTGGATTGCTCAAATCCCATATCTTTCAAGAAGGCAACCAGTTTCTCAAACCACTGCCTGGATGCCTGTTTTAGCCCATAGATTGATCTGATCAGTTTACAGACCTTGTTATCAGGATTTGGTACACCTTTAGGTACCTTCATGTAAACCTCTTCTTTGAGATCACCATGTAGAAAAGCGTTATTAACATCCAGTTGATACATAGACCACTGCTTGCTAGCTGCAACTACTATTAAGCTCCTAACTGTATTCATTTTGACCACTAGACTAAAGGTCTCCTCATAGTCTATGTCATACTTCTGAGTAAAACCTTTTGCAACAAGTCGAGCCTTACACCTTTCTAGCCCACCATTTTCCTTGAGTTTGACCTTGTAAACCCACTTACAGCCAATAGCTTTCTTGCCTTTTGGCAAATCAACAAGTTCCCATGTATTATTTACAAGCAGGGCATTAATTTCTTTAGGCATTGCATCAACCCAAACAGGTTCAAGTGATGACTGAGCATAGTTGAAAGGCTCAATGATATCACAGGAACTTAGAAAACATTTATAATCAACAAGGAAAGCATCAAAAGTGACCAGATTACACTAATGCTGGTTATCAGAATATGCTAAAATAGCATATTGACAATGATAGATATCAAACTTTGAAGGAAACTTATGTGGTCTGTCTGATTTTCTAACAGAATTGGGAGAAGAAGAAAAAGGAATGTGTATGGGAGAGGAATCAGGGACAGAAGTATGCTGGGAGGAATCAGAAGAAACAGAATTTGGAGAGAAAATAGAAGAAGAAATAGGAGAAGAAATGGGAGTAAAATTAAGATGAACATCATGAGAAGGAAAAATTTGAGGTGAACAAGGTGGATCATCAGTAACATCAGAAGTAGTAACAGTAGGGAGATATATAGCAGTAGACAAGATGGAGGAAGGGTTATTTTTCTGAAAGAAAAGGTGATAAGGGAAATGCCTTTCATGAAATTGAACATTTCTTGTGACCTTAATCTTGTGAGAACTTAGATCATACATCTTATACCCCTTTTGACTCACTGAATATCCTATGAAAACACAAGGATCTGACCTGTCATCTAACTTTGTTCTGTTCACCTTAGAGGTTGAAGCAAAGCAAAGACAACCAAACACCCTTAAGTGAGAAATATCAGGAATAAAACCATGTAACCTTTGAAAAGGAATATCATTACCTATGGCAGACAGAGGCATCCTATTCATCAAATACACAGCACATAAAACACTATCTCCCCAAAATTTATCAGGTACTCTAGCCTGAATATACAAAGCCCTAGCTGTCTCCAAAATGTATCTATGTTTCCTCTCAACTACCCCATTTTGCTGAGGTGTATCACTACAAGAAGTTTGATGTACAATACCAAACTTATTAAACAAAGCCTTCATATCCCCTTCACAAAGATCCTGAGCATTGTCAGATCTAACAGCCTTAAGTTTGGAATAAAATTGAGTGGAAATCATAGAAATGAAATTTGACATAATCTCAACTAATTCTGTTTTATTTCTCATTAAATGAACCCAAGTAAACCTGGGGTAATCATCTACAATTTTAAGAAATTGATTACATCTAGTTAGAGTTTTAACAGAATGTGGGCCCCAAACATCAATGTGAATGAGCTCAAAGGGTTTAGTAGACTTGATACTACTTACAGGAAAGGGTAGCTTACATTGCCTAGCCTTAGGACAAACTTGGAAAATTGAATCTACCATACAATCATCACTAATAGATGCAGGTCTAATCAATTTCAGTTTATTGAAAGGTAAATGTCCAAGCCTCAAATGCCACAACTTAGTCTCCTCAGAAACTGCAACACAAACAACCTTAGATGGCACAGAAATTGTATCAACATGACTGTCCTGTTGATCTGGAACATTGTACAGACCTGAGCTCACACTACCAAGAATAATCGAGTGTCCTTTCTGTGTGTGAACAAAACATTTGTCATGAGTAAAAAGAAGTTCACAACTCGTATCTCTACACAACTTATGTACAGAAATAAGATTAAACTTAAATTCTAGTACATATAGCACATTATGCAGGATAATTCCATCATGCAACTTTACTGAACCAAGATGAGTTATCAAAATTCTCCTTCCATCAGGTATTGTGATGTATCTATCCCCAGTAACAACAGGTTTACACTCAAAAAACTGAGATAAATCAGAACAAATGTGATCTGATGCACCACTATCTAATATCCATCTAGTATTAGAACAAGACAGAAGACAGAGATTACCTGCCATCATGGCATGGCTTTGAGATCCTGAAGTAGAAGAATCAGAAGTCTGATTTGCAATGTAGGCCATAAACTGATCATACTGTTCTGCAGAAACAGTCCTAGTAGTGGAGTCAGGGTCAGTCATGACAGAATCATCAGCAAAACTCATAGCAGCCACTTTTCTATCCTTAAAACCTTTGAAATTAGGTGGATATCCTTTGAGCTTAAAGCAACGATCAATACTGTGACCAGGAATCTCACAGTAGGTGCAATAGAACTTGGATCCAGGTTTAAAACTTCCATGAACTTGAGCTCCAGTATTTTGCCTAGCCAAACCTCCAGAATTATGAGTAAAATTAGGAGAAGATGTTTGTTGATTGTTGTGAAATCTTGTAGGAAAACCTGATCCAGTAAATCTCCTTCTATCTACAGCAAAAGCCATAGACTCACCACTTATACTCATCTGAGAAATTTCTTTATGCTTCTCTTCTTGTTCAAACATTCTATATACCTCAGTCACTCTAGGTAAGGACTACATCATGAGAATATTGCCTCTAATTGTAGAGAATTTGTCACTCAATTTCATCATGAATTGAATAACCATCTTCTGATGATGTCTCTCATAAATCCTCTTAGTCAGATTATAGGTGCAATTATTACAAGTACAGTAAGGTAGAGGACAGGCTTCATCAATAGCATCCCATAAAGATTTAATTGCAGTAAAGAATTCAGCTACAGATTGATTACCTTGAGCAATATCAGTCAATTTCTGTTCAAGAGCATATATCTGAGCCAAAGATGTATAGCCAAACCTCTCTTCAAGATCGAGCCACACTTCTCTTGCAGATCTTAAGAACATCACACTGCTGGCAATACTTTCATCCAGATTGAACAAAATCCAGGAGCAAACCAAATCATTACACCTTTCCCAGGCCTTGAACTCCATGCTTGACTCATCAACAGGTCTCAAATGAGTTTCATTGACAAAACCAGCTTTATTCTTTGCTCAAAGTGTCAACAACATCGATCTCTTCCAGCCGGTGAATCCATCACCATTGAATTTGAAAGAAACTAATTGAGCAGAATTAGCATCAGATGGATGGATGTAATAGATGCTAGCAGGATTCTGATTAAGCGGTAGATTCACAGAATTTTCAGCAGCCATTATCAGATCAAAATTCAATAAACAGAGATCAATGAAACAGTGAATCAGAAGAATCAAGTTCTTTTTTTTTTTAGCAGATATCAGCTTCAATTCAACAATCAATTCAGTGAAAATTCGAGGAAAAACAACCTCAATCAAGATATTTGAGAATTAGAAATCAAAAGAAAATGAAGAATTCTGGAGAAAAATTGTGAAGAAAAATCAAACAAAATACTAGAATTTCAGCTCTGATACCATGATAATTCTAGAAAAATTAAGGAGAAAAACGAGAGAAAATATTGGGGAAAATTATCTGATTATGATCGAATAATGATATTACAGCAGAAAATATGAATATATATCAATACATAATCTAGAAACTTCTGTAAGAATCCCACAAATATCAGTAACTAACTTAACAAAATATCTGTAACTAATTCCCTGAAATCTAGGGAATTCTGTTATGAGGCAGAGCTGATGTGGCAGGGCTGACTTCAGTTGATTGATTACGTGTAGCTTCATTAATATCCATCTCGAAGATCGATTAAGTCGGGGAGCTTTGAGCTTATGATCTAATTGATTTCCTTGCTTGTAAATGACTATATTCTCCAAGAGCCCATATGGGGAAGATATTTCTAAATGAAGAATAATTTAGGGTGCAAGTCTTCATGAATACTCCAGTGATTTCCTATTACAAATTGGCATTGTTATAGTTTCACATGCATGAAAAACACATGCATGAATCTAATTTGTAAACATAAAATTAAAACCCTACATAAGAATTTTATTTAAATTAGGGAATTCATATTGGAGAATATAATTTTTACTTAGTTTACATATCTTTTAATATACAAATTATCTTAGCATTTAGAAAATAAAAAATGATATTACGTAGTTTAGTTTTGCAAAATTACCTGTTGTGGAAAGTCTCCATCATCCATCTGTGAGTTTATTAAAACTCTTATTCCTCGTTCTATGGGAGTTGGATCTATATCACCCTGTTGTATTGGCAAAATAATATAAGTAAAAAGTTATGTTAAAATAATAACACAATTTTTATTGATAAAATAATTAATATTAAAAGTTTATATTAGAATGAGCGTTATGCTTTTTCTTTAGGAGTTGTGATATAAGAATGGACATAGTGATTTTATTTTACATTAGGTATACATTAGGAATGTGACATTAAGTTTACTAGTCTAATAAGCCCAATATATGAGTACGCAAAGCAAGACTAGTTGTGTGTTATGAGTGTGATTAGTGGATGTCACAAAAATGACCAAGGTATAAGAAAGAAATTAAAAATACTCACAAATCCGGCTTTAATAAGGGACAACAATGCCCACGATGTTTGCACCAAATTCGACTTGTTCCCTTCTAAATTCGTGTAAACCTGTTTCATATATACCCAAATACGTCAATTGTTCAATAAAAAGATGATATTGTGAAATTAAATCATACATAATAATCCTCAAAATTTTATGCAACTTATTTTTATTTGATCAACAATAATTAAGAAAATTATTAGTACCTTGTTTGGACTAGAGAGGTAATTCTCCCCCCAACCACCATCAGGCAATTGCTTTGAGAGCAAAAAATGACAAGCCTTGCGCAATGCAAGGCTATTGTTGTAGTTCTTCCCAGAACATACTAATGCCTCAACTCCAAACCACGTTCCATATGTATAACAGATTCCCCAACAACCATACCTACACTCATTGATGAATAATTTTTGAAAATTTCGTTATTTTCTCAGGATTATTAATGTTGTTATTAAAAATTTTGAAACAAAAATAATAATCGATCGAATAATAAATGAGAAATAACTTACCAAGAACCATCAGGGTTTTGTGTCTCTTCAACGTAGCGTATACCTTTAGCAATGCTCTTTTCTATTTCTTTCTTTCTATGTCCAGGGTATAGCTTCTTGAAGAGTGTTAAACCTTGGATTGCTGAAGAAGTGCACTCAACATACCTACATTAAAATTATGGAATGATTGTTAGTTGAATTTTAAAATAAAGACTAACATGTGTTGCATGTTTTATGTAGTGCTTTAGGATATACCCTCTAGTTTCTAAATCGTCCAATTACTAGAATGAGAGCTATGAAAAGGAGATATTGAACCCAAAAAATAAGTTTTTTTATTCACTAATTTTTCATATTTTAGTTCTATACTAAAATTGAGTAAACTTTTTTTAAAAAAATTAAATAAAATTAGTTACATACGTACTCACCTTATTTTTACCAATCTAAACTTGTATGAGTTAATTTTCCCTTGAATATATATATATATATATATATATATATATATATATATATATATATATATATATATATATATATATATATATATATATATATATATATATAAAGTTATCTAATTATATAAATTTGAATTACATAATTTTTCTAAATTTAAGTATTACTCCATAAATTTAAATTTCATGAAGAAGATGGAATGTGGAACTTACTCTCTTTCGATAAGAACATCTTCAAAGAACTCTGTAGGATTGAAATTCTAAAAAAAATAAACAAAATGTTCTTATAAGAAATAAATCTTCCCAATATTGCTGCAAATGCTATAATACAATTACATACATTATATAAAATCATTTTATTATACTTATTTTTTTTATATACCTCAAGCCAACGAAAAGCTCTCTTGGGCTCCCAAGCAGGAAAACCACCATTTTCACTCTAAAAATGTACCAAAATATATCATTTTAATTAATTACAGTGGTAAAAATAGATGAAGAAAAGTAGATAAAAGTCATTAATTAAACAAATAATTAAACACTTACTTGAAGGGAAAGAATGACATTAAGAGCATCATACAAGCGTTCTGCTTCAATTTTTTCACCCACAACTTCGGGGGGATATCTTGAGAATAGAAGTGCAACCTATGAAATATTCAACACGTGACGAAGATGTTTAAGACCTTGTTCTGCTAACAATATTTCACTCGTATAAGTTCAGATATGATACGTTTAGAGAAAATACATTTATTAATTTTTTTTTTAATATTTTTTTTTTTTTTTTTTTTTGAGGAAATAAGAAAAGTAAGTTACGATACAATTTAATTAACAGAGGTTTTTCAGAACGGCAAGCCACATGGTACGGCAGGAGTTACTTGTAAGGTGTTACTTGTATTCTAGGGTTACTTGTAAGGAGTTACTTGTATTATGAGGTTCCTTGTATCATGGGGTTACTTGTAGGTGTTACTTGTATTCTATGTAACTCCTACAAATAACTCCAGACCAAAACTTCATACCAAACCAGTAATACCCTATAAGTAACCTCTGACCAAAACCAGTAGCACCCATACAAGTAATCCCAGAATACAAGTAACACTTACAAGTAACCCCTAACAAAACCAGTAACACTTTATAAGTAACCACTGACCAAAACCAGTAACCCCAGAACACAAGTAACCCCTGACCAAAACAGTAACACCCTACAAGTAACCCCTACCGTACCATGTGGCCAGCCGCATACAAAAATTTGTATTAATTTCAAATAAGGGATGTTTATATAGATTTAAGACTACTGTAAATTAACAAGTACACTATACCTTAAACCCTTCAGCAGTGCAATCAGAGACTTGCCAACCATGATCTTGTAGTGAAAAAGTCCATGCGCCTTTTGAAATATGTCTATACATCTCCTGGAAGTTTCCAGAAGGATTGTCTTTGACCTAATACACGCAGGTTGATCGAGTTTGTTTAATCAACTTTGTACCAAAGTGATCATGGTGAGGGTCGAGGGAAGGTTATAACAGGCGCGTGCACACACACACACAAACAATAAAGATAATATACCTGGGAGGCTTTTAAAAAATAGTGTGCTTTCTTTAATGTAGGTGCATAATCTTGTGTAAGACCACTTGCAAATATTGCTTGGATTGCAAAGGCTGCATCCCACATTTGGGAACCAAAACTCTGTTTTTTTTTAACATAAACTTACATATTAGAAATCAATAGCTACTTTTGTTACTTGAATTTTTATGAAATTTTATTTTATTTGCCTATAATTACCTGCATTTTCATCCCATCTTCTGCAAGCCAGAAGTAATCTGGAATTCGCGCTAGATGTTTCTTGTATGCTTCAGAATTTGAATCTTCTACCCAACAAGAAAGCATACAAAGAACCTGTTACAAGTTTTATTTGGTAATATAAGTTATTATGTAACAACATTTTTTTTATTTGTAAATGTAATATAATGCAATGGTATAAAACCTTTTCCACACAACCAATGCAGAGGTATCTACTATTAATGTCCTCATAGTGTACATGTTCCATAGCGATCTTCATCGACTTCTCTCTCAATTTCGAGAAGGGCCAACGGTTGAGTACTGGCTCGACAAAGTTGTGAAGGAATCCCCATACCATGTCTTGTACTAGGGGATGAGGGTAGTAAAGGTCCTCCTACAAAACATTGGTTTTTTTTAGTATGTTCACTTTCATATAGTATATAATCATATTGTTGTAGGATATATATATTTACCTTAGCACAAGTGTTTCTAGCCTTGTTCCAATTTATTTCATTGTAAGGTTCATTGTAAAGCTCCCTTCTTAGTGACAGAATGAGTGGAGTTATTGGACCAACAAATCTCTTACCATAAAGATATGACATTGGCATATACACCAACCTACAGTAGCATAACAATTTCCCTGCAATTTTGACCATAATTTCCCTTAAATTAACTTTATTGAATTTAATTTAGTTCAAAAAAAAGATGTTGCACTAGAAAAATTAAGTTTAGCCAATTTGGAACCTGGATGCATAGGTGAAATCTCAGGGAGTAGCCAAAATTCTGGTGGCATTGGGTTGCACCCATCCCACTCGTACGCTCCAAGCACCTACATATAAAACGAGATCATTTTATAAACAAACACTCTATATACTCCCTTCGTTTTAATTTGATAGTCTCATTTTAACTTTTTTATAATCAAACTTTAAAAAATTTGACTAAACTCACATTAATATTAATATAAATATACAAAATATAATCATGTAAGATGAGTATTACATTTGGCTCAATGTGAAGATTTATAATATCAATTTTATAAAATTGACTCTTGAAAATTGCACAATATAAAATTAGGAATTCATGACAAAAACACGCGTAAATCAGTGTAATTAGTGTTTATATTTTTATGATTTCTAGGGTCTGTTCTCTTACGTTGAAATTTAGTTCAGTTCAGTTCAGCTCAGTTCAGTTCAGTTCAGTTCAGTTTCGCTCCTAATTTCTTTCTCTTATAAAATATTCATTTCAGTTCAGTTCAGTTCAGCTCAACTTAGTTCAGCTCAGTTCAGTTCAATTCAATTCAGTTCAGTTCAGTTCAGCTCAGTTCAGTTTAGTTCAGTTCAGCTCAATTCAGTCAATGAGAACAGGCCCTTAATTTTTTACGATTTTCAAGTGTAAATTTAATGCTATGTATAAAATTTTCCATTTTTAAAAAGATAATTAAAGATACTGATGGTTAAAAATACATACTTCTTATTAAATTCCGAGCAAAGTCAAATTTTGACTATCAAATTGAAATAGAGATAGTATTAATTATTTGTCTTATACATTATGAATTTTATTCATAAGTCTAATAATGACAAATGACTAACCGTGAGCCAAAATTTTCCCCAAGATGGGATGGCAGTGGCACCACCATGATCAAGGATCCATTGACGAGCCCTTGCAACCGCGTTATCCTCACCATCATCGGGGCCTTCTCCGAGCAGCCTAAGGGCAATGTAGCTAATTACAGAACCAAACATTGTGCTATTGCCTTCTATGTGAAGTCCCCATCCTCCATCTTCATTCTGCCAATATTTTCCACATTTTGTAATGTAAGACTTAAGTTTATTTCACCAAATAAATGAGAGTTAAATTAGTTATGGTTGAACCTGGTGATTGTAGATGTAACGCTTGATTTCCTTTTGGTGTTCAGAAGATAAAATTGTATTTGTTGCTCCTGTAATGTGCAGGGCTATTACCTGAAATTTTGAAATATTACATTTTTGAGATGAGGTTGGTGATGAGTCATATTAATATTGGCCATTTTAGTGTAACGGATGTAGATTAGTTAGTTTAACTTTTGAGGGTGACACGCAAGTTTTAGGATCGAATCTTATCTACATTATTGCCTTTATGACTGTCTCAACACCCAAAGAAACATGACAACCCTTTAAAATGTGCAAGAAATGATCTTTGAAAGTTTAACCTATTATTTTAAGAAAGTAAATTTCCATGAATTTCACATAACAAAATTGTCATTCATTGATTATCCAAAAAAAAAAATAACAATGCATTTTTTCAATGTGTTCAACAAGTTCATTCTTCCATTATTTATTTCTTTATTTTTAGTGAATACAATTGCACTTTATAGCTTGACAATGTATAATTTGAACAAGTAATATATTTAACTATTTAAGAAAAAAATAAGCCTTAACAACACCAACTATAACTTGAGTACCGTGAATAGCACCCCTGTACGTAGTAGCCAGAATAACACCAACTTTTGTAATAAGCCAGGTGCAACATGTGTATAATAATAAATTAATGGTAAAACTTACAAGTGGAGGGAGGAAGAATAATGGGCCGGCAGATTCAGCGGGCCAGTGACCATCATGGGCCTGTAAACTGGAGAAGAAATTGATGGATCTTTTGAGTGTTGTATCCATTGCTTCCTCTGTTATCTCCTCTGTTTCCTTCAATTTGATTCTTTGAGGTATTGGCAAACTTGTGTTTTCTTTTCTCAACTGTTCCAAGTATTTGTTCCCCATAATTTAGTTTGTACTAGGAATATATTAAACCATTTACTTGTACATATTTTGTTATTACAACAATATTACTTGTCAATGTTGTCATTTGTTTACCTTGCCAATTCCTCTAGATACAATAAAAATTATAACGAAAAAGTTGTGTGTAAAATCATGACTTTTAGGCGAGAGTTCCAACAAAATTATACTAGTACATATTATTTTATCCCATTTAATTTTTATGTATATTAAAATCGCGGTTAGAGCTTTTTAATATTTATTTGATAAAGGTTTCTATAATTTGTAGTAAGTGGTATATATGTACAAACTATAACAAAGGAAATGTATTAACCTGCATTCTCATTAAGAGATCAGAACTTTGCCTATTCTTGAACCGATTCCTCTTGAATTCCTCCCTAACCATCTCAACCTCAGCTTGTTCCTCCGGTGTTCCAGCCTCATGATCATACTCCCAATGTTGTCGACCTACGTGATCGTTTATGCTCACTAGCCATGGATCCTTTCCTTCTGCTATCTTTAGCTTCCACATTATTAAATTCTTGTTTCTTTTGGCAAGAAATGTAATTCTCTAGGTTTTTTTTTAAAATTTTTTTTTTTTTTATTAACAAACTTTTTCAAGAGAAAAAAGGGAGAAAATTAAGAAAATGGTGTTTTTGAAGAGGAGTTTTGCATGATTTTGCATGAGCTTCCTCTATCCTATTTATAATACTCAATTCAAATTTCAGAACAAAAATAATTAACTTATTATTGTGTATGATCTTTAATTATTCTTTGATGATTTTGGGCATGGAAATATATAATCTAGTGTCTAGTGACGTTGACTTATAATCTTATAGATCATGTACATATAAATACATAATATAATTGTTCATTAAAAAATTGAAATAGTTTTAGTATCCTCTATACATCAGAAAATATTGCAGTTAGCTAATTATAGTGTATTAGTGTATAATGACATATTTTTCCATTAGATTATAAGTTCAAACTATAATCTAATCTATAATATATTAATTTAAGATGTCAAAAGACTTGGATCATCGTTTTTTTCTAATTTGACCAAATCAACATATATCTGTATGTATAATCTTATACGTGGGTATAATTGTGAAAAGAACCTAAGTTTGACCTGTTTTTAAGTTCTTTACATTATTTTGAACTTTCAAAGTCTGTATCAGCTATAAGATTCTTTGTTAAATTGCATGTTTCAATAGTTGATACTCCCTTTGTTAGGGAAAATTCGACTTACAAAAGATAAGGTTAAGGAGATTCAACACTCAACCTCTTATAACAAGGAATACTACTTAACCATCTAAACCAATTACCAACTATGTTATGGGGCGTCGGCTAGGCTAAACACTAATGAGATATAGTAAAGAAGGTATAAATAGTACAATATTGGGTGGAGGAGTAAGTTAGTCAATCTTTTTGAATAAACTCAAAAAATTTAACAACAAAAGTTATAAATGTTGTTCAATTTAATGCTCCATACGTTATTAGCACATGTATGTTCAATCTAGTCGAGTACTAAGAGAGTAAATCATAATTTTAAGTTAATCAATCTCAAATTTCGAACTATATATGTTTATAATTTGTACTCCCCCGTCTCTTAATTAAATGCGTACTTCTCTTTATTATGTGATGAATAAAGGCCAGAAAATAGGCATCTAATAAAGGGACGGAGGAAGTACTTATAATTGATGATTAATTACTTTTTTTTTTCTTTTTGTTGCTTATGCACTTATAACTACCTAAGTACCTTTTTTTTTTTTTTTTGAGGCAACCTAAGTACCTATATTTAACATGTTTAAAGCTTGTAGAAGTTAATTTGAACTAGAAAAAAAAAAACGCTTATAGCCACTTTGGCCGCGCCATATTTAGTTGTTATTGGTTTAAAATGGTTCCTTAAAACAAGTAACTTGCTTTGTTACTTATATTTACCTATATTTGACATGTTTAAAGATTGTAGAAGTTCACTTGAAAGAAATGGGAATACATATGGCCATATTAAGTTGATTTTGGTTTCAAATGGTCCTTATAACAAGTAACTTGCTTTGTTTTTGTAATTTCTTTGCCTAGACAATTAAAACTATCTATATTTGACATGTTTAAAGCTTGTAGAAGTTCGTTTGAAAGAGAATGCAAAAAATGGGAATGTGTATAGCCATTTAGACCATATTTAGTTGATTTTGGTTCAAAATGGTCCTAAAAATAAATAGGTAACATGCTTTATGTTTGTAATTTCTTTGCTTAGCCACTTCTAACTACCTATATTTGACATGTTTAAATTAAGATTGTAGAAGTTCAATCATTTGAAAGAAAATGTAAAAAATAGGAATGCTTATAGTCATTTAAGCCTTAATTATTGTTTAATTTTCATTCCAAATTGCCCTTAAAATTAAACAAGTAACTTGCTTTGTTTTTGTAATTTCTTTGCTTAGACGCTTCTAACTACCTATTTTTGACATGTTTAAAGCTTTTAGAGGTTCATTTGAGGGAGAATGTGAACAGTTATAGCCATTTAGGCCAAATTTGGTTGATTTTGATTCAAAATGGTCTTTAAAACAAGTAACTTGTTTTCTTTTTGTAATTTCTATACCTGGGCACTTATAATTTCGGGTAATTGACATGTTTAAAGTTTTTCCAAGTTCGTTTGAAAGAGAATGAGAAAAAAATAAAATAAGGGAATGCATATAGCCATTTAGTAGGCCATAGTTGAGGGTTTTTTTTTTTTTTCTTCGTATGCAACCATAGTTTGTGCTAGATTTTAATTTAAGCGATTTCACTTTGATTGCTTTTATAGGATGCCTTCCAAAAGAAGGTAGATGAGTGTAGAGAAAAAGGAATTGAGAAAATTTCAAATGTAATCTATTGGGAAACGGTCGGTGCTAGGAAGATAGGGGTATAGTAGTACCATGCCTCGGGACGACTTCAGTAAAAACCAACCTCTTATATTTTACAGTCACGATGATATGCCACATTTTAGCGACCATTTGTCCGTCATTAAATACCAACCGATACATATTCAACTAGTTAATATCGATTGATTTGTAGACTGAAAATAACAACTGTAACACCTTTCAGTCGGTAATCACCAGCTGTTTAAATTTCAGTCGACAAATGCCTAAAATCAATCGGTAAGTATGTAATTACCAATCAAGGCTTTACTAGCTGATCTTTACATACTGAAATCAGTTGGTAAATATTTTAGACGAATGCTTTTTTTTGTTTTACCGAATGATTTATTGCCGGTCGAAAAAATGGTGTTTATTGTTGTATTCTTTTTATACAAATTGCAACAATTTGACTAATTATCACATTTTTAGTCCAAGGGCGTGTTCGACAATAATTTTTGAGTAGCTTTTAGTGGTTTGACTAATTCAAGCAATTACTTTATTTAAAAACATGAGTGTTTGGTAATTTAGTCGTGAGATCGAGTATAGTTTAGTTAATTAAAAACATGGTGAAGCAGCTAATGAAAACCCCTCTCCTCCTTCCTCTCTTCTAATCCCTAGCCTCCATTATTGATTTTTCAAGGGGATTCTATCGGTTTTAACCGATGAAAAGCCCGAATCTTTTTCTTTATAAGATTTTTTAGGTTTTTAATAATACCTCCTTCTTTTGGGAGTAACTTTTCTCCCTCAAAAGAAAGGGTTTCCAACTTCCTAGAAAAGGTTTATCTCCTCTTTTCGAAGGAGAAATTTCTTAGTTCTGAATCCATGATATAAGATCTAATAAATTGTCATTATATAAATTTTGTTGGTGAAAAATTATGAGAGATTGCAAAGGTTATCTAGTTTTCGAATACAGTCAGATGAATAAGAAGGAAAACATCCTCATGGCTATAAAAGATCGTCAGATTCCCTTTACAACAAGGCTATATTTTCCAGCGGTATGAGTGGAAGATATTCCACAATGCAAGATCTACTCGACAATTATTGTAGTTGTTATGAAGGAAATTTATATTTGCTTTATGTATTTAATTTGTTAGAGTTGAATCTCCTTTGTAGATGTCGTATGATTTTTTTTTAATGAATTATTTTACTATTAAAAAAAAAAGTTAGTATTACTAATGAGTGAAGATTGAAGGTAATTGTTATAATTTTCTTTTATATTTTTAGAGTTTTGCAGCTAATAGGTAGTCAACTGCTATTTTATCAATAATCACACTAGGACATGTTCTCTTCAGATTATTTTTCAGTTCAGTTCAGCTCTAATAAGTTCAGTTCATTTCAATTCAGTTCTTAATTTCCTTCTCTCATAAAATATCCCAGTTCAGTTCAGTTCTAATTCCTTTTCTCATAAAATGTTCAGTTCAGTTCAGTTCAACTCCAATAAGTTCAGTTTAGTTTAATTCAGTTCAATTCAATTCAATTCAGCTCAGTTCAGTCAATCAGAATTAACAGGCCCTAAATTATATATCTTCACAACTAATAACTTTTGACAGCTAATCGTTACTCCCACAGCTAATAACTACTCAAAACTATCAGTCTATAACGGCTAACAGCTACATCGATCTACAACTACTTTTTGCTAAACATGATAGTGTTGCAAATTTTTTAAAGTTGTGCATGGACAAATAAATCAATTAATGGGAAAGGGTAAGAGATATTCACCATCAAATACTGTAGTTGAGACTCTTGGAAGGATTTGACTTTATAACCTAACTCAAAATTAAAAGGTAAATCCCAAACTAATTAAGTACGATGATAAATATGATCTTTGGAGGAATCCAACAAAATAGGGAGATTTACAATTTATAATTTTTAAATATTGGGTATAGATTTTTATTTTTGCTTGCGATTCCCCTAATCTAATGACCGAATAACGAAAACTAGCTTAACAAAAGCTAAGGTAAGATTTAACTGGTGTTCATTTTTGTGATTGAGATTAAGCACGATTATTGCATACAAAGGATTTCACAAAATTAAATCAATCAAAATGATTTCATGACGACGACATATATATGATTTAGAAATAACAAGTTACGTGCATCTTGTATTTGATTTTTAGTTGACTGTTGACTAATAATAATACAATATGTGAAATAACTAGCAATGGTTTTAAATAAAGAATGTTTACATTTTCCAATCGTTCGAGCCTCAAGATATGTAGAAACTCATGTTGAGAGACTCATCCATTATAAGTTAAGTTTGTGACATTGGTCGGATTCGAATGTAGTCGGAGTTAAGCTTTCAGTAAATCGGATGGTCTTCCTAAAAGCAAATAATAAAAGTCTTCTTCTTTTCCTATATTATTATTTTTCTATTAAGGAATTGTAAGATAAAAAAATGGTCGGAAGCTTTTATTAATAATTTAAATCAAGACTCGCCAAGGTAATAGCTCCGCTGGGAAAGAATTTAATTATGCATATACTTTCTTTGTTTTATAATAATTACAATGTTTAGTTTGACCTTATTTGAAATTTGAATCATGCATGCTAAATTAATGTGTCCATACAAGTTGAAATTTAATTTAAGAATTCAAGTCGGTTATTTTGGATCAGGTCTATCCGATCAAGTTTTGACACCTCTAGATCCAGCTTGGCCCGTTAGAGACAATTAATCTTGATTTTAAGTGAGCAACATCATTCCCGGGTCTACTAACAAAATTATAACAGATCGAGTTCAATTTTAGCATTAATGAACAAAAATTCATTAGTTTTATTTATAAAGATGAGAGGGGAATATAGCATATACGCTACAAATGTACGGGAAAGAGTAAAGTAAGAGAAAGAGGCTCCACCTTCCTCAACCAAAAAAAAAAAAAAACTATTAAAGTTTTAAGGGTCTGTTCTGATTTAATGAATTGAGATGAATTGAAGAAAATTAGGAACTGAACTGATTTGAGCTGAACTGAACTGAAATTAACTTGAAGAGAACATGCCCTAACTCTATCCAAAATTTAACCTTACGGTTGAAGTCCATTATTAGTTTTGTAATGTATTGCTTTCACGGATTAGATGAGAATCATGAGATCAATAAAAAGCAATTTTGTTGTTTCATTCTCTTTTGTGTATACGTATTTCATGTTTAGTTCTAATATGGTAAAGAGCTACAAGTTTGATCATGAGAAACTAATAAAGAATTATGAAGGGAAAAAAAAGGAGAGAAAGAAGTTATTCACTGAAATTCTGTATGTATTTGATTGAGTAAACTTTGATTTCAGATAGTTTTTGTTTTGTATTTTTTTTTTTTTGACACAGTAAATCATTGTAATTATATGACGAAAGGATGAAAATCATTGTACTGTAATTATATCATCATTATTGCAAATTTTTTTTTTATCTAGAACATTCTTCCTCGATATTCGTGGCTAAATTTGTGATGAATCAATTGAATTGATGCAATTGATGAATTTGATTTTTTGTATATTAATTCAACTGCTGAATTTGTGATGAATATCATAATATTTATGTTTAATTTGTAATCGATGTTGCAGTGATGAAGGATTAATGAATTTTTTTTATTAGTTGGAGAAGAAAGTAGAGTAGTATGCTTGCCTCTTATTTGTTACAAGTATCATATATTCATATTAAGCTATTGCAGCTATCTTAGGTGCACAAGAGTGCAGGTAAGAAGTTGCCTATGATCCAATTTAGCTAATAAATAAATTTATAATCTCGTCAAAAAAAACAAATAAATAAATTTATAAATATAAGAAGTATTTATTTTGTTTAGTAGTCCATGTAATTCTGTTAAGCCAATGTCCATGAAAAAAAAATATTGTTCATACATATAAGATGAACAATATATTAATTTACCAACTAAATTAAATTAGCACTTAGAGACACATCAAATGAATGATAAAACTAGTAGAAAGTTCATCTCAAACACATGATCACATTGTGTGATACACAAGAATAATCTATAAAAGTGTTTGCAATAACCACTTAGCTTCTTTGACCATCTACACTTTCACATTGTGTGGAATGAGACGAATAGGAAGCCCTTTTTCTGGCTTAGGAAAAGGATTAGCTATTATTTTTTCATCAAGAATTATTTTCTCAAATTTATATCTCTTCACCAAATTGTGCATAAATGCTAGTATCTCCAACCGTGCATACTCCTTGCCGGGACACATCCTTGGCCCTCCCCCAAATGGTACATATGTGTATGGTGCTGGCCCGCTTCTCTCGAACCGACTTGGGTCAAACTTATCTGGTTCCGTGAAATATTGTGGATTTCGATGAGTTGAGTAGGCACTCCAATATAGCTACATCCAACAAAGATAGAGGGGAAACTATTAAATCATACGTCATAGTGTTGAGAGTTTATACGTGTACAATATAAAATATGAGTTTTTTCCCCAATAAAATAGAAATACACACGCAAAAAAAAAAAAAAAAAAAGTTCATCGTGAGCTAGACCAGTGAAAATTTGTGGTAAAAAAAACAAATTTGCCACACTTGTTAGGTAAAGCTACATGGGTCCGGGCCGTCCGACCATACTCAAAATTGGTCTAATCAATCAAGGTGAGCCACATTTTCAAGAAAAAATCAAATTTATGCCTTAATACGTATGACCCGAACCTGTTCATTAGATCTAGAATGAACAAAGTGCACCATAGCACATCTTCAATTAACACTCTAAGGTAGATGTTACAACTTACAAGTGGTTAATTAAAATCTTATAAACATACCTTCCAACCCTTAGGAATGTTGAAACCAGCATACTTGAAGTCAGCCATAGCTTCTCTAAAAGCTCCTTGTAATGGAGGAATTAGTCTCATTACTTCACAAGCCACATTCCATGAGTACTTCATCTTCTGCATATCCTCCCATGTTAACAACTCCCCTGCCGTTTTCGATTTCGCAATCTCCATTTGCTCTGTACAACCCAGGAGAACAGATTAACAACATAATAAACCCCAATTTTCATGATCAAAAGATGCAATAGAAATTTTCATATATTTTTTTCCATGCATCATTTCTACTAGTATATACATACCTTCATAAACTGCATTATATACATGAGGAAGTTCAGCAAGGTATTTGACAATGAAGGTAATGACAATACTAGCAGTGTCATGTCCACCAATTAATAAACCCAGAATTTTATCTGCAATATCCATTTCATTCATATGTTTCCCATTTTCATCTGTTTTTGTTAGCATATGAGACAGTATATCTTGTGTTGGTGTTGCTTTATTATCTGCTAAATCAATCTTCCTTTGGTTAATGATCAATATGAGCTCCTTCCTAATAAACTCGGCGGCCTTAATCGCCTTGTTAAATGGTGTTCCAGGGAAATTAACTGGGATAGATATAACCCCGGAAACCAAGAGGCGAAATGGGTCAGCAAAACGAGCTACATGGGTAGGATCCTCGACACTAAGAAAAATGTGGCACGCGAGCCAAAAGGTATATCTTTTGGCTAATGGGAAAACAATGACGTCGTCTTTGTTTTCCCACCCAGAGGCAAAATGTCTCTGGGCGATGGTATCCATGATACCAACGTATCTTTGTAAGGCCTCGGCCTTTAGAAATTGAGGAAGGAGTTTCCTCATTTTCGTAGACTCCTCCCTAGAGTTAGTTTGGAGGGAACTAGGGAATACTTTGTTTACGGCCTCTGGCCACCAAGTTGTAACAAGCTTGTTCTCGTTTGAGAACAAGAACTTGTTACCCGTTGGGCCGCAAAAATAAGCCACAGGCTCCCCAAGAATGCTCGTCTTAAAGCATTCTTGGGAGTATTTGACCATACGGTCAAATACAAATTTCTCAGGATGGCCTTTCCATCCAGTGGACAAGAACTCTAGCGTCTCACCAACAAGAGGCCATCCCGTCTTTCCTGGAGGAAGGTTTGTCGAGGAGAAAAGGGATCGATGTTTATAGAAAAGGATTTGAAGTAAGAGCAAGACGAGGAGGAAAAAACCTAGGAAGAAGTAACAAAAGAAAAGTTCCATGTTGTTCTATAAGTACTTAATTATTGAATTTGTAAAAATTTGGATTTTTGACTATGAATGTTGAGAAATTAGAAGAAAAAAGAGGTTTATATAAGATTGTTTTGTAGGGAAAAAAATTGTATGGAGTCATTAGTTCACAAGATTGCGGTATCATTAGTCTAACTCAAAATCAATAACATGATGTACTTATATTAATTATATTGAAAATATATGGCGGTGTCATGAAAATCAAAGAAAATGTTGGGTTTGTTTTGTTTTCCCCCAAAATTTATTAATTGATTTAGTTACGTATAGCTGCATGAAATTCTTGGAATGTGAATATCTGATTTTGCATGTAGATCTAAATCCCAAAAATGAAGATCAAATATTTGTTATATGGTCTTTGATTTGGGTGGACTGTATAAAGACTAATTAATTATTGCTTAGTACGTACGTCTTACATTTTCATTTGGCATACTAGTCTACTTTGTTGGATTATTCAATTATTCTAATACACATATCTTACGCAATTATATGACATTTGCAATTCGTACTACCTAGTCAATCATAAGTTGAACTTAGAAAGTATGAAAATTAAAATACGAATAAAATCCCTAACAAAGTACTCACAGCCCTTGTTTGATAAATGACTTTTGGTTGGCTTTTTCATCGGCTTTTGGCTTTTGGCTTTTTCTTTTGGTCAAACAACCAAAATATATGTTTGGTAGCTGAAAAGCCGGCTTTTTCGCCAAAAACAAAAAGCTAGTCTTACTAGCCTTTTGGTTTTGGCTTTTGGTTTTTCATTAAACAAATTACTTTTAATAATTAATAATTGATAAGTAATAACTAATAATTGATAATTAATAACTAATAACTAATAACTAATAACTAATAATTGATAATTAATAACTAATAACTAATAGTTAGTAACTAATAACTAATAATTAATAACTAATAACTAATAATTAAATTATTAATTAAAAATTAAAAATTAACAATTAATAATAAATAATTAATTATTAATAATTGATAAATACAAATTAACAATTAATAATAAGTAATTAATAATTAATAATTAACAGTTAATAATTAATAATTAACAATTAATAATTACATTAATTAAATACCTAGTAGAAAAAAAACCCTAGCCTCTCTTTCCTCTATTCTCTCTCTAAAACCCTAGCCTCCATTGTTGAATTTTGAAGGGGCTTCTATCGGATTTACCGGTGGAAAGCCCCAATCATTTTTTCTTTTGTACCTTTTCTCTTGCTTTAGGTTAATAATAATTCTTCCTCTTCTAGGAGGAATATTTCTCCCTCTAAAGACATGGTTTTTCTTCCTCTTTAGGAGGATTTGGCTCCTTCGAAAGATCGGGTTTTTCTTCTCTCTTTTGAGGGAGGATTAGCTTTTTTATTTCATGGATTGCTATAGAGTTGTTTCATGGGTAAAATTTTGTGCGGTATTGAAAAAGAGATTAATATTTCGACAACCATCGAACGAATCAGAGGAAAATTTTCTGCACGACTACAACAGATCGATAGACCCCCTCGCCGAAGAAGGCTGTAAATCACAGCGATATAAAAGAGGGTATGAAGAATGTACAATTTGCAACAACGATCGTAGCTTTGATTACAGAATGTTTTTATTTGATTCAATCATCATGTATTTGTTAAATCTAAATCTCTTTGTAGATGTCGTATTACTTATTTATGAATCAATTTTATTTCAAAAAAAAAACAAGTAATAATTAATAATTAACAATTAACAATTAACAATTAACAATTAACAATTAACAATTAACAATTAACAATTAACAATTAACAATTAACAATTAATAATTAACAATTAATAATTAACAATTAATAATTAATAATTAATAATTAAGAATTAATAATTATTAATAATTAATATTTAATAATTAATAATTAATAATTAATATTTAATAATTAATAATTAATAATTAATAATTAATAATTAATAATTAATAATTAATAATTAATAATTAATAATTAATAATTAATAATTAATAATTAATAATTAATAATTAATAATTAATAATTAATAATTAATAATTAATAATTAATAATTAATAATTAATAATTAATAATTAATAATTAATAATTAATAATTATTGATTAATAATTAATAATTAATAATTAATAATTAATAATTAGTAATTAGTAATTAGTAATTACTATTTAATAATTAGTAATTATTAATTATTAATTAGTAATTAATAATTAATAATTAATAATTAGTAATTAGTAATTAATAATTAGTAATTAGTAATTAGTAATTAATAATTAGTAATTAGTAATTAGTAATTAATAATTAGTAATTAGTAATTAGTAATTAGTAATTAATAATTAATAATTAGTAATTAGTAATTAGTAATTAATAATTAGTAACTAGTAATTAGTAATTAATAATTAATAATTAATAATTAGTAATTAATAATCAATAATTAGTAATCACTAATTAATAACTAGTAATATAATTAGCATTTAATTTTTAATAATTAATAGTTAATAATTAATAATTAGTAGTTATTAATTAATATTTAATTACTATTATTAATTAGGAGTTAATGATTAATACTTAATAATTAATAATTAGTAATTAATAGATGATAATTAATAGTTAATAATTAACCGTAATTAGTTATTATTAGTACCTAATAATTAATAGTTATATAGTAATTATTAACATATGGTCAAAAAGCCACTACAAACAGCCAATATTAACAGCCAGTCAAACAAGCCAAGTTAAATAGCCAACAACCAATTGTCAAACAAGGCCATAGTCATTGTAACACGAATGTATTTTAAAAAGTAATATTACATCATTATAGATAGAATTGTGGTTAAAAAAAATAGGAATGTACATGGATTGGACTCGAGTCAGGTTTGGATTTAGCCCATATTCTAACACATTTTCATGCGAACCAAATTACATCCAAATCGATAAGGTCTTAAAAATTTAAAACAACGGGTTAGTCGAGCTTATAAAGTTTTTTATCCTCAAATTGTTTCAATCCAATCATTATTTACTATCACATTAGTTAAATAATTAATCACTTACCATCACATAATGATATTCGAAAAAGGTTGGAGTGTTTTTCATAATCTATTCTTTGTTTAGCGATAGTGACCTTCACTCAATAAATGAGTTGTTCGAGAAAACAATAACCTTCTAAGAGAACCAAGTTCAAACTTTTTTTTTTTTTGGTTGGTGGAAAGTTTACTTTCGTGTTCATACTCTGCATGAACATGAACAAAAACATAAATAAGTACTTATATTACTTGGGTCAATTTATTTACATCCTTAGTTGCATGGATGCAATAAGGGTAATAAACTATTAACGAGTCACCTTTGAGATCAAAGCTCTATAGGCTTGACTCGACTTCAACACTAGTTTCGGGCTCAACTCAAGTTCAATGCTTGTTGAACACGAGTTGAGTAAGATACCCTAAACATAAGCTCAGCTTGACTCAATAATCAAATGCTCAATCTACTATCGAATTTACTCGTTTTGATCACATTAATTATTTTAATTGATAACTTAATTCCCTCAAATAAGGCCCTAAAATAACAATAGCCCAAGGCTTAGATGGCAATATATGATTTTAGGTTACAATTTATATATGAGAATAATATTGTTATGAAAAAAATTCAAGCTTGTTGATGTGTCCAATTTGTATAGTCTTTTACCCCAGTCCCTTGGTCATAATTAGTAGTGTTTTTGGCTCTTTAGAGCCACTTTTATTACTAATTGGTGTTTTCTAGTATTTTTGTAGTTTTGCTTGAGTTTTGTAGGAAATTTTACGTTTGGAGCGTTTTCCGGGTTTTTCATGGAGTAACTACAAACATTAGGAGGACACGACTATCTTTGAAGCCCAGGACCGGTTAAAGCCGGTGATTAAGGGCTCGGTGTGTGATACCGGGGCATTTGGACCAAGTATTCAAGACCCGAAGAGGAAATTCGGATTGGGCCGAAGAAGCAAGCTCAATCAAAGTCCAAGCCTCGAGGAAGAGATCGGCCCCGATCAGGCAAGCTTGCGCCCGATCGGGCGGGCGCGCAGAAGAAGTCATCTTGCAAAGCGCGCCCGATCGGGTGAGCATTAGCTCGATCGGGCGCGGCTGCCCAGGAGAAGCGTGGTGAAAAAGGCGGGCCCGATCGGGCGGCCTTTCGCCCGATCGGGCGCGTGTTTTTGGAGGCACCTGATTGCCGAATTCTTAGTTTTTAATTAGGATTGTTTTTAGAGTTGTTTAAGTACGATTTTAGTACGGAATTTTTGTTTTACCTTCTCTTTTAGACTTTCTCTCTCTACTTAGAATATTTTCTCTCTCTACTTAGAATATTTTCTCTCTCTAAAATTCTCTCAACTTTGTTCTCAACTCTACTCTTAATTCCAGATTACTTTGGTAACGATTTCTTTTCTCTTAATCTCAGCTATTTATTTATTCCTTTGATCATGTCTTGTTTTATTACTTTGATTAGCTTATATTTAATTATGTGTGAGTAGTTTTAATTCTAGGGTTTGTGGGGATCCATAAATAATATGAAGGGGTGATTTATTGTTGTTGATTATCAATGTTAGATTAATTTCCTATTGATTGATTTAATGCTCTGTGACTATATTAGGCCTGATCTTTTATGCATGAGTTTGACAATATTGATCCGAGATTCGAGAGATGAGAATTGATGTTTAGGTCTAGTTTCAATAGGCAGTTTAATTTATAAATGGTTAAGTCGAGATTCGAGAGATGAGATTTAATACCGGTAGATTAATTATGTGATTGTAATACGTAGTGAAAGCCCTTTATGATCTGATTAATGTATGCATTGATGATTGATTATTATATTTTACCCTGGAATGTTATTTATTGGTGAACTTATGCCCTAGGTCTTTTATTCATTGTTTTCTCTTTACTCTTAATCTCCGTAGTTTAGTTTTATATCCATATTATTAAGGAAACATTGCTCCCATTAATCTGAACTTTGGCTCGTCCGCCGAAAATAATCCCAACTTTCGTTTATTATCTATTGCACCGAACTTTGGGGGGTATTAATTTTCGTTGTACCCAACTTACCTGCAACCGGTTAATCCGGTCAACATTTGTGTGTTACATTTTTTTGGACACGTGTCACTACATGAATGGTCAAATAAAAAAAATTTAAAAAATAAAACAAAATTTAAAAAAAATAAAACAAAATTTTAAAAA